CGTAGACCAAAACTAGGAACATACCTTCTAAGGATACCTTTCTCACTACAATCTTTAAACCCGCAAGGGTTATCCCTTCATCCACTAATATCTTTAGCCTGTAAGGCTTCCGTCTATGTCGTATTTCCTAGCCTGTAGGGCTTCCTTGTCATCCTTCATTGGCAACAATCCTTAAGGGATTCCTGCTTGTCTCAATTTCTGAGACAATGTAAGATATCATCGAATCCATGTCTATTATTTTCTTCATCCTTAAGGAGTTTCTGCGTGTCTCAATCTCTGAGTCAGTGTATGATATGACCGTGTCTATCATTAAAATTGTACAGGGTACCCCTACGTCTACCCTCGTACTACGTCTACATCGCATTACATCTATATGAAATTTTTAGCATACCCTAAAAAAACAAAATGTTTTTGCATACCCAAGCATTTTCATATATTTTCATTTTCATCCATCTGCATAAAGCTCATATCTCTTCCATTTACAGAAAACATCTACCCTTATCCAATTATGATCCCACTAGCAAGCTTCTCGATACTCTCAAACAAAATCAAAGCATGTCTCAAGAAGTCATGGTGGAACTCAAAAGAGGCCAAGAACTGTTGAAGCAGAAGGTCCACCAGTTGAAGACTCAAATAAACTTGATCATGCAATTATTACTAAGGAGTGAAGGTAACCCTTTCTTATCTCAGCCACAGACCTATTCAACACCATAGATGACACCACTACGGAAAGTTCCCCCACCTTAACAACTACTACAATAACCCTATCAACAATATGGATATGCCCAAGAAAGGGGAAGACAAAAATTACCACCAAGAAGATTTGATCCACTTCGCATACCGCACAGTCAGTTACTACAACATTTACTCAAGGTATCTTTGGTAGAGCAGAGGTCACTGAATCCTCCAAATGGGACACCCCCGCCTAAGTATGATGCAAATTCCAGGTGCGAGTATCATGCCATCTCTCTAGGCCATACCCTTGAAGGTTATTAGAGTTTCAGACACAAGGTCCAAGATTTGATCGACAATAAGCAGTTGACTTTTGAAGAAGGGATCCCCTTGGTGAACGGTCTACCTTTGCTTTGACAAATCCAAATACTAAGAAGAATCCCCTAAAGTCAGTGGATCAACAAGGGGGCTCATCTCTAGATCATTAGGCATTTACCATTTCAAATTGTAATTTCTTTCTTGTTGAGTGTTATTTTCTATAAATTTGTATCTTTGGATCAATAATTCTAATAAAATAATCATGCATGTTTTTGAAATGGATCCATTCCACAAATGACCAACGACTTTCTATTCTTCTTTTCTATCTTCCATTGCATAACTTTAACAAACTGTGATGGAGAATGATGAGAATACAAAATAATCAAATCTTGCTGATGTATGCTTTTAATAGTAAGGCTTAGTTGACGATATAAGACATTGTTTCAATTCCTAAATAATGGATAAATAAGGAGTTAATATGTAGTTAACCACTTTGAGCCAGAATTCATAGATTTTCCTATTTTATAAAAAACCATAATTTCAACCAGGGGCAGGGTAGATTTCAATTAATTCGACGATACATCCAAATCCCAGGAGAATCAAAATGATCTAAGCAAAGGTTTAAGCATATCTCTTTCCTCGACACATCATTAAGAGAAAGATCTAAGCAAAGATTCAAGCACATCATCTTCCCCGCGTTTATCATCCAAGATTTAGGAATCAACGAAGAGAAATTCCACGACGTCTTCCTCCTCAATACTTCAATCAAGATCGAGGAAATGATAAAAATGATGCTTACAACAATCAGCATGACTGTCACAATTTTCAAAATCAAAAGCAAAGAAACTCAAAAAAGGGGAGAAAACCCGCTAAGTCAAAGGAAATAAAAAAAATTGACTTAGGAAAAAGTTAAAGCATCGCGATGGACCGGGAAATTCAAAAGAATTAGTCCATGCAAAATGAGGGATTGAAAATAAAAATTGGAGAACAATCTTGTGACTGCCACCTCATGAATCATCAAGGCTTCTCTTCAATTCTTGGATATTATCAACACTTGGTTCTTATTAATGCTTTTCATTGGCACTTGGATCTTTATCTACGCTTCTCATCATCTGCGCAACTACGAAATTTATCTTAGAAATTAAACACATGTGTTGCATTAATTGAAATTAGGACTGGAGAACATCAAGGAGAATGGAGTGGGCTAAATAAATTTTGAGCCTTATATATTTTGTTTCTTAAACCACGAACCATGGCCACGCCATAACCTTTAAAAATCCTAATTGAAGCTAGGTTCACTATGAAAGCATACTCAACAAGATTTATGGTAAACTGACTCATATGTTTGTTAAAATTATTAATCACTTCGCTTTTTCAAATCTCTATCTCTAATCATCCATTTCTATTCCATAATCAATTTTGATTTCAAGAACTTGCAGGGTAATAAAATTAGGATTACTTTTTCAGAATGTACAATTTTATCTACGAATCAATACTTAGCATCAAGGAGATCTCAAAATGGGTCTAATCAAAGGCAGCATTTCTAAGAAGCTTCTAACTGGGGGAAAAGTATGAAAAGAGGACCCCTATGAACATAGGCAATACTAATGATCGTAGGGGTATATCACATGAAGATACTATTCACAAGGGGTGATCATTCTGAAATTCAATCAACTCGGATCAAATTTCAAAGCACTGTTCAATCAGGGGCGTACCTTTCGAAGGAGCACTCCTTAATCAAGTCATATCAAAATAGGATATGGCCCGGTTTCCTCATTTTAACAAACCTCTCAAGGCCTTTATAATCAGGGGCAACCTTCCAAGATTCAAATGTTGGGGCAGTACGTACCAAGTTCATCCTACTTCACGTAGGGTCCAAATTCCCCTTCAAGCAATTTTAAGTACAAACTTTTCATGATTCAAATACTTATGGAAATCTATGTCAAATTCATGGTGAGGTCTAAGTTCTTTCTAAGGATACTTCCTCCAGATTCTGGAGATTGAGGGGCACATCTTTCAAAATTTAAATGTTGGGGCAAACCACTACGAGGCTTGATCAAAAGGAGTTGATTCAAAATGGTTTATCAAAGCCAAACAATTTCAAGAGTCTTTTAATATGAGGCATAGTTCGAGATAGTGGGGTCGTTCATATTATGATCAAACTATTTCCAAGCTCATATCCATAAGAATATCCTCCAAGATCTAACAAGTTCCACATAGGGGCAATCTCTCTGCATACTTTCATAATTTCTAGTGGATCTTTCTCCTACATCATCAATCTTCAAGTTCAAATCGAGTATCGGGAAATCATGATATCATACCATTCAACCATCATGTGGCATGCAACCCTGTTGCTTAGGTAAACCTCTACGCTTTAATAATCCACGACCTATCACAGAGGCACCATTAAAAAAGAATTTGAGTCATAATCATAAAGTGTAAGGCTGCATAAATCATGCGTTAGGACTCTTCGATCCAGAATCAACACTACAACATTTAGGCTCTCCAGCAACAATTGAAAAACGTTGCCAGAACTCTGAAAATCGTTGCCTAAAACAATAGGGGACGTTTTCTAGGCGTCTCCTGTGCGAGCGTTGCCTATTGTTTGAGGCGACGTTTTTTTTATGTTTTTTGGGAATGCTTTTGAAAAACGTCGCCTATAGTAAAGGAATAGGGGACGATTATTTACGGCCTCTGAGACAACGTTTTTTAAGCGTTGCGTTGCCAAATTCGGCTACAATTAACAATCGTTGCCTTAAACCTGAATCAGGAAGATCGTTTTTGAAGTGTAGCCATAGCTTATAGGTTGTTGTTTTATAGTGTCCACATAAAATATACAATTTTGCAATTATTATCAAAATAATATAGTCAATAATAATTGGCTTCAAAAATAATATTGATTATATAACTTAAACCATACATCCATAAAAGTTGTAATATAATAAAATCGAGTTCAAACTTTAATTCAAGATATAGTATATACAGTACACAAAATGCCTAACGTAACAATATTACTTTTAATACTTTGAAGTATGACCCTAGTAAAATAACTAAAAACATAGTTCAGCAAAAGAACAAAAATCATATTTCAAGTTTAATGCTTTCAACTACAAGCCAAAAAAAAGACATCATCCAACTCATTCAAGTTTGTCTTCTAGGAGTAAAGCATCCAGATCGTCCTCTTGAAATTCGTTAGATATGTCATCCTCCATAAATTCTTCATCTACGTCGTCCTCTTGAAATTCACCATCTATATCCTCCTCTTGAAATTCATCATCTAGATCCATGTCGTTCTCTTGAAATTCGTCATCTACGTCGTCCTCTTGAATTTTATCATTTAGGTCGTCCTCTTGAATTTTATCATTTATGTCGTCCTCTTGAATTTCATCATTTATATCGTCATTTTCAACATCTTCATTGATACATTGCTGCATAAGAAAATAAAATAAAACACATTAACCATAAGTATTTTTGGTCCAAAGGACAATTAAGACATCAACAAGAATTAAACCTTGCACAAATAAAAACTAAACCAATGAGCAAAACACATTGTTTATATTCTTCACATCTCATGGATGTGAATTAATTATGAAGGTTTTTAATGGATGTGATTTTCGTTCTAAACTGTAATAGGTGACATGAGCTTACTAGCAAATAAATCAATTATGAAAACCATTTTGTTTTTGGCTCACTATTCAGGACTTACAATAGCCTTTAACTGTATGTATGTATGTATGTATGTATAACTTGTTCTATCCTTTTATGTTTATTTTTTGGAGTAAATGAACTCTGATGAACACTCTTACTTGTTGTATCTTCTTTGGTGTTCAGTATGTAAAAATACATGAAATCATTATTATGAAATATGAAACTAATTACCTTTTTCTTCTTCTCTATTTGTGATTGCATCTTCTTCGTTGACTTTTTCCCGATTTTTAACCCTTTCTTGTCGAGTTCCTTTTTTTGATTGATTTTGATTAGAGCTACGGTTAACGCTGCTGCCCGGTTTTTCACCATTGATTAACTTGGTTGCATCCATTTCCTTTGACTTGTGAAGATCTACATAATCATCAATCAACATTGATGGGCATTTTGGCACCCTATTTAGCTTTTGAGAGCATTCACCTTTTGACATCATTGTGTCCAAAGATAGAGTTTTCGGCATAACAACATGAAAACTTAGCAAATAAGTTACATACCTTGCTCTATTCATGGCCACATTGGTTCTTTGTCGATTTGAAAGAAAACCGACTTTTCCACTCTCATTTGATCTAACAGTATACATTATTATAATATCTTCCTCTCCACCTTGAAAACCGTCAATAGAACGAACACTCACAGAGAAATCAGTATCAGAAACAGAAGTGTACTCCTTAATTTTGTCCTGGATTGCATAGACTTGAGCATTATATGGAGAGATAACTCCAATGCTAACTTTCTCTTGTGTCCTCTTAAACTCTAAAATTAAGAACATACACATATTAATTATACACATATTAATAGAAAACATAATCACAAATGGTAAAGAGAATAATAACCTTTTTTGAGGTTTTTAATCATCTCAGAAATGACAGCAACCTCAACCATGTTCATCAAGTTGTGTCCGCGGCCAGATTTCTCCTTACCCTTAGCAATGTTAATAAAAGAATAAGACGAATATAATTCTCCTTCAAGGAAACTCTTATTGTAGCTTTCTTCCATAACAAAAGGGGCATCTGAGATCTTTTGATCATAGAACTCTTTGCATGGAAATAAGCTTATGTTTGGATGCATTCGATACTGAACATTAAGCATATGTTTCTTGTACCCTAATATTACCAGTCTCTCAAACATACTTCTTCCAAATCCACAACTATCAGCAATCTAAAAAAAATTCAAACATCATAAACATACTTAATTAAAGGCAAAAAAATTCAAGATACAATAAAACTAAATTCAATAATCAGGTACCTTGCTTTTCACCAGTGCTGGCATATGCTTCTCATCACCTATAAGAATGCAATGCTGAAGACCAGGTAGCTGTAAGGGGATTGTGGATTCACACTCTTTCAATTGGGCCGCTTCGTCAATTACTAGAAACTTTACCTGAGTCATTCCTTCAGTGTAGAGTTTAATAGAACTAGAAACAGTGCACAAAACCAGACATGCATTGGACAAGCAAAACTTTTCTATTTGATTTCTCCCATTGAGTTCAGGAAGCAAAATAGAACTGGAAAGCAAACTGAGTATTTTCAAGAAATCATCAATTTCAGAGTTTGATGGTAGAAAGCAAGAAGGAATTATGTCTTCCTGTGATACCAACACAGCTTGAAACAGCTTCTTCCTGTGAATCATTCAAATTTTGAGAACGAATTATGTCTTCTTTAGTGTAAGAATATTGACTACAAAATTTGCAGTTTTCTCCACCCTGAAACACAAAAGCAAGTATAAAAAAATGTTACATTCATATATAATCAAACTGCATAAAAAAACTCCATTGTTCTAAACTAGATATGAACTCAAATTTGAACACGACTGAGTTTGCCTTATTTGAACTGAGAAACTAACAAAGAAAACAAATGAAAAAATGATTCTTACATCATGACAAGGCCGCAACACTTTTTTAATAAGGCCAAGGTGGTCACCGTCTGATTGTGAGTTCAAGGCTTTCCAAATACGAACATTTGTTGTCATGTTCATAAGATAAACTGCATACATTTTCAGGTAAAATAAATAATATGGGGGTATTATTGTCTTTGTCGCTTCACCGGTAGGTTCTGTAAGCCGGAGTATACATACAACTCTCAGCAAACTTCTCCAAATCTTTCGGCTGGGGAAGACGAGTCGCCAAACCTATAACAAAAACACAAACTCAGTTATTATGATAAGTGATTATCCAATAAGCGCTTAATTAAGATGTTTATTCTTAAAAGCTCACCAAGCTCATAAGCCTTAGCAGCAACTTTGGAAGCAATGTGAGCTGAAATCTTTCTGATGTTTGTGAATGGTGGAAATATCAGACCCTTCTCAAAGTTTTCTTCTGTTACTTGTTCAGCCAATGCCTCAGCTGTTACATGAATTCTATTACTACATTTGTTTATAAAATGTATGTATTTTGATTCTATGTTTTTGCGAACTTACATGCAGCCAGAAGAAGATCGTCGTGCACGCGAATGGTACCAGACATTATTAAACCTAGGCCAAACCCAGGGAATATGTATGCATTATTCGACTGAAAAGCAAAACAAATCCAATTTAGTCAAATAGATATAGTTATTCAATGAATCTACAAAGTCGAAATTCACTTATAATAAGGAATGGAGGAAGTATAATGTTAGTGAAAATAATATCGGAGCTTGACCTGGCCAGGCACGAACACTTTGCCCTTATATTCGACTGGCGGAAATGGGCTCCCACTTGCAAAAATCGCGCGCCCCTGATTCGTTGACAAGGGAAGAAAATAAAACAGAATGGTCAGCGTTGATCCAAGAATAAGATTAAATTTCAATGCAAAATATAAGTCGGTTCTTATTACCCTGCTCCACAAGTAAGCTTCTTCTGCTGTACATTCTGATTGTGATGTTGGGTTGGAAAGAGCCAGAATAATCGGTTTCTACAAGTATCATCAAACAAAATAACATTACTCAACTTATTCAGACATGAAGTTGCGTTGGAGCTACTAGATGATTTGATCGACAAGGAACGGTACCTCGTTAAGAGAAGCCATTGCCTCAACCACCTCTTTGGTAAAAGTTTTTCCTTGGCCCGATGTTCCGATAAGCACTGTTGGCTTAATTTTCTGGAAAGAAAACATTGAAAATGTAAGAAAATCGAGACTTCTGTTGTGTAATGTGTATACACGCATATGTCTAAGTGTAAGAAAACATTATATTATCTGCATAAGCCATGCTATTTATCCAATGTTTCGGCCAAATTCTATGAGTTTTAGTCATCTGCATAAGCCATGCTATCTCAAATAAAATATATGGCTACATAACAATTCATTAACTTCAAATTGGTTACCTAAAAAATATACAAAACTATAGAAATTGATTAGTAAAAATTAAATGATAAATGACTTTTCTATCTTAAGAGCTGCACGCATTTGAAATGATTGAACCTAAAAGCTCTAATCCATGAAGTCATAATATAACAAAAGTATGCTATTAAACAAAACTAACTTGGAGAAATTTATTAACAGCAGGGAACAAACCTGAGGTGTATTACAGACAGAACCGTTAACTGTAACCTTGCCTTCAAAAATAAGCTCTTCACAGCTTCTCCTGGACGCAACTGAAAACAAAACAACTTACTTATAATCAATTTTGATTCTGTTGTTAATTCTCTTTTACTGCATAAAATCATCAAATTATCATTATAGTCCAAATACTACTAAATTGTCACCTCCAGAAGCAGCGAGAACCTTGCTGAGACGCGTACCGGAGTCCTTGAATTTTTCATTGTAGAATCTCCTTGCCGCTTTGGAATACTGCGGCGGCGCCACCTCACGGACCTTAGTTTCCTTTTCATTTTTCTTCTTGGCTTTCACAGTTTGGTTCTTCTCTGATTTTTTGGTACCTGTTGAGGCATTGGTCATGGCTTTGAGAAAGGTTGGAGGAGATTTGAACGAGAGTTTGAAGTTTCCATCTTCGCCTCGAACATTCCACGGGATGGTGTCACCGTTGTCGGGGAAATGGTTCCGGTTATCGAGTTTAGGGTCGGGTTTAGGTTTAGGGTTGGAGGGAGAGAAGGAGATGTTGGATTTGAGAGGAGAAGAGGGGAGGGAAGAGCAGGTGAGGCGAGGGAGAGTGCGGAAGGAAGAAGTGAGTTTGGTTGATTTGGTGAAATAGAGTGCCGTCATCGCCATTGTTGCCGCCGAACCCATTGTTCTGGCGCGGCGGCGGTGGTGGTGGTGGTTTTTTAAAATTGCAGAGAAATGGAAAAGAAATAGTAGTGCTCTAGTTTCTATCTTATCCGTTGGGTTTGCATTAGGAGTTTTGTTTAATTTTTTATATATATATATATAATTTTTTATTTTCTGTTTAATTGAAATTTTTTATTTTTAAATTCCTGTGTTAGAAAAATATTTTTTTTTATATATATTAATAATGTTTAGAGAAAAATATTTGTTTTTTAGTGTATAAGTTTTGGAGGGAAGATTGCCACCAAAAATTTGATGATTCTAAAAATATTTATACAACATTTCAGAAATGTAGTCTTTTATTAGAACTAATGTAACAATCTAAAAATGTCCTCAAAAATATTTTAGGGGACAATTGTCAAACATTGCTAAAGAAATAATATTTTAACGCTCTAAAATCGTCCCCAAAAGCAGTTAAGGGCACAATTAACAACCGTTGGCAAAAAAATAAAAGAGTATCGCTCCATAAACGTCCCCAAAAGTATTTTAGGCGACGATTATCAAGGGTTGCAAACATATTTTTGACAACAATCGTAAATCGTTGCCTATATGAATTTAAGGCAACAATTTCTACATGTTACCTAAAAAAGTGTTGCCAGAGACAACAAATGTTGTAGTGCAAGCTATACTTATCATCTCATCCATCTGACGAAGTCCGACAGCATGGGTCGAGCATATCTCAAAAATCCCAATTATGCATTCGCATTTCAAATCCCAACATCTATTTACACATTTCCAAGTCACTCATTACATGGATCAATCAATCATTACATTACATGTATCAATCAATCATTACATTACATGCATCAATCAATTATTACATCACATGCATCAATCAATTATTACATCACATGCATCAATCAAATTTACACGCATATCATGAAACTTTGTTTTATATGAAGACAATCATCTTTATCAATCAAGCTACCTAATTCTACATCGAATCTCAATAGTAGATTCCCTTGGTTGATCATATCAATTGATTATCCAGAAGACCTTAGGTGATGGTAGCTCACAATAAGATCTCAACAGTAGATTCCCCTGGTTAATCTCAGTAGTGGATTATCCAGAAGACCTCAAGCAGAAGGTAATCTCTCAATAGAATATCGACAGTAGATTCCCCTGGTTAATCTCGGCAGATGATTATCCAGAAGACCTCGAAAAAAGGTAGCTTCTTAATCGAATCTCGTCAGTAGATTCTCCTAGTTAATCTCGGTAGATGATTTTCTAGAAGACATAGACAGAAAGTAGCTTCTTAATCGAATCTCAGCAGTAGGTTCTCCTAGTTAATCTCGGCCGATGATTTTCCAGAAGACCTCGGTAGAAGGTATTCTCTCAATGGAATCTCGTAAGTAGATTCCCCTAGTTAATATCAGCAGATGATTATCCAGAAGACATCGGCAGGAGGTAGCTTCTTAATCGAATCTCGATAGTAGATTCTCCTGGTTAATCTCGGCAGATGATTTTCCTGAAGGCCTCGGCAGAAGGTATTCTCTCAACAAAATATCAACAGTAGATTCCTCTAGTTAAACTCGGTAGATGATTATATAGAAAACCTCGACAGAAGATAGCTTCTTAATTGAATCTCAACAGTAGATCCTCCTGGTTAATCTCGGTAGATGATTTTATGGAAGACCTTGGCAAAAGGTAATTCTACATTGAATCTCGGCAGTAGATTCTCCTGGTAAATCTCAATAGATGATTATCCAGAAGACCTCGACAGAAGGTAGCTTCTTAGTCGAATCACGGCAGTAGATTCTCCTGGTTAATCTTGGTAGATGATTATTTACAAGACTTCGACAGAAGGTAATCTCTCAATGTAATATCGGTAGTAGATTCCCCTGGTTAATCTCGGCAGATGATTATCCAGAAGACCTCGATAGGAGGTAGCTTCTTAATCGAATCTCGGTAGTAGATTTTCCTTGTTAATCTCGGCGGATGGTTATTCAAAAGCCTTAACAAAAGGTAATCTCTCAATGGAACCTCGATAATAGATTCCCTTGGTTGATCTTGGTAGATGATTTTCCAGAAGACCTCGACAGAAGGTAGTTTACAACAGAATATAGATAGTATATTCCCTTGGTTAATCTCGATAAATGATTTTCCGAAAGATCTCGGCAGAAGGTAATTCACAACCGAATCTCGACAGAAGATTCCCCTGGTTAATCTCGATAGTTTATTTTCCAAAAGACCTCGGCAAAAGGTAATTCTATATTGAATCTCGGCAGAAGATTCCCCTGTTTGATCTCGAAAGATGATTTTCTAGAAGACCTCGACAAAAGGTAATTTCTTGAGAGAATCTTGGCAGTAGATTCTCCCGTGCAATTTTCGACAGTTGATTTCCCAGAAGACTTCGGCAGAAGGTATTTTCTTGATAGAATCTCGGCAGTAGATTCTCCTAGTTAATCTTGGTAGATGATTATCGAGAAGACCTCGGCAGAAGGTAGTTCTCAATTGAATATCGACAGTAGATTCCTTACAAATATCGACAGTAGATTTCCTGTTAAAAAGCCTGATATCAAGCATGACATACACATAACCATATCAAAATCTCAAGGTCATTCATAATATTTGGTGCATCTAACATACAGAAACACCAAAGAACATTTGATAAAGCATCAAGGTCTATTCTGGTTAGAAAAACAACAAAAGAAAATCCACGCCTATTTTTACGTCCATGCCTACGTCTATGACTATGTCCACGCCTACGACTACATCCATGTCTACACATGCGTCGATGTATATGTCCACACCTACGTTTACGCCTATAATAAAAATATCTTACTGACACTCTTCATAATATTCAAACCAATTCAGTGTTACCGCAACACCACAACATCGGGGAATTGGTAACTAAAAACCAATGGTTTAAAAGGATATAAAAAAACATTTTTCATAACATTTTGGGGCATATACACACATTTTTTACACATGTAAATATTTGGGGCATACACACATACACACTCAGTGTATATACACTATGGGTTTCATATTGATCTAAGACATTGTGCACATACATTACACATGACATTTCTCAAAACATGCTTTGGGCGGAACCAGTATCTTTGGGCTCTCCATCAGATTATTACCTTGGTTGAAAACAAACAACCAGTAAAAATTTGATCTCATCTCTAATTTAGTTATATAAAGATTTGATCATCAAAAAAGCTTCCTCTATGATCTAGCTCATTGTGTCAGGCTCCATGCAGCAATGTGCAAAATCCTCAATTTAACTCATTGCGTCAGGCTCCATGCAATAATGTTGTTTCCTCCTCTACAATCTAGCTCATTGTGTCAGGCTCCATGCAACAATATGAAAAATCTGTAATTTAACTTATTCCGCCAGGCTCTGTACAATAATGTTGTTTCCTCCTCTACGATCTAGCACCAGTGTCAAGCTCCATGCAACAATGTGCAAAATCTGCAATATAACCCATTGCGTCAGGCTCTATGCATCAATGTGTTTTTATTTTTGTGATATAGCTCATTGTGTCAGGCTTCATGCAACAATGTGTAAAATCTGTAATATAACCCATTGCATCAGGCTCCACACAGCAATGTGTGAAATCTGCAATATAACCTATTGTGTTAGGCTCCATGCATCAATGTGTTTTTCTTCTTTGTAATCAAGCTCATTGTGTCAGGCTCCATGCAGAAATGTGTGAAATCCGTAATTTAACTCATTGCTCAAGCTTCATGCAGCAATATGTTTTCTCCTCTGCGATATAGCTCATTGTGTCAGGCTCCATGCAACAATGTGTAAAATATGCAATATAACTCATTGCGTCAGGCTCCATGCAACAATGTGTTTTCCTTCTTTGCGATCTAGCTCATTGTATCAGTCTCTATGCAACAATGTGTTTCCTCCTCTACGATCTAGCTCATTGTGTAAGGCTCCATGCAGTAATGAGCAGAATCTTCAATTCAACTCATTGCCTCAGTCTCCACACAACAATGTGTTCCCTTCTTCGAAATATATCTCATTGCGTCAGGCTCCTTCCAACAATGTGTGGAATCTATAATTCAACCCATTGAGTCAGTCTCCATGCAACAATGTTATTATTAAACATTTTCCATTGTGTCAGTCTCCATTCAACAATATTATTATCAAACTCTTTCCATTGCATCAGTCTCCATGCAGCAATGTTGATATCAAAAAAAATTTCCGCGATATAATCCATTGCATCAAACTTTAGGCAGCAATGTCATTATCATGTTTTTTCTGCGATATAACCAATTGCGCCAGTCTCCATGAAATGATGTTGTTATCAAGCTCCTTTTCAAATATCTATCACCTAGATTGTGATAGATATGTGAATATACCTGCATAATCCATTTCATCAGTCTCCATGCAGCAATGTGTTATCAAACTTTGTTTTATCTATCCCCTAGATTGTGATAAATAAACAAAATCAAATCAAACCAAAACTTTCTGTATTAGCCTCCAAGCGTTAGTAAGTCAGTTTTGCAAAACTTGTATTATTTTACCTCCTAGGTTATGGTAAATATGCAAACAATCTCTTCTTAGATGTTGACGAGTTATCTTTGTCATCATATCTAAATTAAATCAAAACTTTGGTGCAAACACATGTTAGATAATATATCATCATCTACGCCTATTCTTCGTACCCATGGGAACGTTGTACAACATATCCTTGTAATCTTTCGGACAAATTTTGGGGTCTTCCAATATTTAATAGACTTCCAATCTGAACATGCGAGACTTGTGTATTCTTGCACTATTCAATCGAATGGTAATTAAATAGGGACAACTGTCATACCCTAAATTTGTCCTACTAGTTCCTGATATTTTTATTTTTATTTTTTATTTTTTTATAAAATTGTATTCAAATGGTTATGGGTATTTAAAGTTTATAAAGGCGGGTTTATTTATAAAGAAATAATGGGTCTTTCTCAATCAGAAAGGGCCCATGTAACTTTTTAGTCCATTTCAGAGTATTGGA